TCCTCCTCCTCCTCCTCCTCCTCCTCCTCTTCCTCTTCCTCCTCATTCTCTTGGTCAGAAGCGGCCAATTGGCTGGCAAGAGCAGCTGCAGACAGACGACTGGCTTTGCGCTTGTGAGGTGCGGAAGCTTTAGCGCTCCTAGTGCTGGGTCCCGCTGATTGCTTGGCCTTTCCCTGACCACGACTCGAGCGGCCAGCTGGTGTTGAAGCAGCAGCTGCGCGTCCCGAGGCCATGCGACGCGTCTTGAGCGGTCTGACATCCTCTTCCTCTTCATCCTCGCTCACAGCCGGCGTCGTCTGCCATCTCAATCCCGCAGATCTTCGAGTCGGTCCTCTGCTTGAGCGCAAAGGCACATCTTGTACCTCTTCTACATCTGAGCTTTGTTCATCATCCGATGAAGGGGGTTGCCAAGCAGGTTTAGCCTTTCCCGAACTTGATGCTCGAGAGGCGCGCCCAGTACCTTTGGGGACGGGCTGAGGACGGGGAGCGCGAGAGGATGAGGACGTATCGCGACGCGTGATGATCTCTGGGAGCTCCTCATCTGCGCTCATAAAATCCTCATTGTCGCTCCTCGCGGCTTCTCCGTAAGAGTACTGATCTGAATCATCGTCATCTTGTCGAGTGTTGCTCGGTGCAGCTGCACGAGGACCTCGACGCGTTCCACGTCGAGGTCGCATATCTCCTTGCCAATGGCAACAACGCGACGAGGAGCGAGTAGCGAATAGCCTTTTGGTCGGAGGCTTCGAGGATGATGCCTCGTCGTTGGGGCAACAAGCCTACCTGACCGATTGGATGGAATTACGAGTCGGAGGCGGGGAGGGGGTCGTGGCTGTGCAAGAAGAGCCAGGCGTGTGGTACGCGATCGAGATATATATATCGCCGCACCGTCTCCTTAGGACTCGTAGTCTACTCACGACTCACGACTCTATACACATACGGTACAGCATGCATGCAGCCGCCAGCCTTGCCCGCGGAGTGTGCGTCCTGCTGAAATGATCCATCGATGCGGCCATGCAGCCACGACGGAGCGTGTCACGAGACGCGCGTGCGTGCGATCAAAAGTCACGAGTCTGCGCGGCATCGAGGCGAACGAGTTTGAAATCAAGAATCACGCGCGCGCGTCGAGAGTCACGAGCCGTGAATAGGAATCATGAATCACGAATTCAAGATTTGAATTTGAATCAATCACGAATACCCGTGAGGTGTGCCACGTGGGTCGATGCTACCCAGTCACATTCAAGATTCAAGTTCTCAATTGGCACGGGCGGTGCGCGCCAATCTTTCATTTCATCTGGAATGACCAAGGAATCACGAGTCACAGATACGTGCCGTGCCATCAAGGAATCACCGACTTGAACTTGAACGAGCAGTCACAGTGACTCAGGATTAATCACCACGCATCTCGTCGTACGACTTCATCAATCTGTCACGAGCGCCATCTCATCCACATCGGGTGGCCTCGCAGACGAACGATCTTGGTTCAAGCTACAGTAGAGCTGTAGACAGCAAGCAGCTGCTCGCTTCGCGCCCTTCATCGACTTACAGGTTCAATTACCTTCAGCCATGTCGACGATGCTTCCCAGCACTTCATCGTGCCGATCTCTTGCACAACGTATCAGCACCTCTTCTCGACCTCTCTTCCAAGCCCAATCATCATCTCAAATCACCCACGTGCGCTCCTTGCACATCACCGCAAGCAATTCGGGCAAGCACAGACCAGGCTTTGGTAAAAATGCAATCAGAAAAGCTAGACAGGAAGTTCGATTGAACAGATTACGTCCGGATGGATCTTCGCCTGCTAGAGCGTTGCAGGAGGATACGTCCAGAATGGGTGCGAGGGGCAAAAAGAAGAGGGAAGATCCGGCCAGTTTGGAAGATGCTTTCAAGCTGCTCACTGTGAGTTGTCGTGCCATGCGCAATGCGTCTCGTGGCCAGAGGGCATTCGCCCAGGCAGATATCGACAGCGCACTCAGGAGCATCTGAGCGCCGCCTCTTCACCACGAAGCCGATTCGAGTTAGACTGAAGCCCGAGTCTTGATCCTCTTCGCCATGCAGGCAATGGAAGTCTCGCGCCCTTTTGCAGCATTCGAGATCCACATTGCGACTTCCATCTCTCGAGGAGTAGCAAATGCCCTGCGAGGACGTATAGCTCTACCCTACACTACGCGTTCCAAGCCTGAAGTGATTCTAATCTTTGCAGGCGAAGGCAACGAAGCGGGTGAAGAAGCGCGTCGAATAGCCTCTTCTTCATCCAGCGCAGGCTCTTCGTCCAGCGAAATCATAGTAGGTGGTCAAGAGATCATTCCCGATGTCGTCTCTGGTAAAATTGCAGGCTTCACAAAAGTTTTGGCTACGCCGGATTGTGTCGGAGCGGTAGCAAAGGCTTTGGCAAGGAGTTTGGGTCCGAAAGGTCTGATGCCGAACGCTAAGAGGGGGACCATCGTCGAGACGCGGAAAGGCATGAAAGAGGCAATTGAAGAGGCGCGAGGCGCTTTGGACTGGAAAGGAGACCGACAAGGTGTGGTCAGGACTTGTGAGTGTCTATGCAGGCTGAACATTGGGCTTTTGCCTAAGGGTAGCTGAGGCGAAAATGACCGCTGACATCTTGCTGCTCGCCGTCTCTAGCCATCGCCCGCGTCAGTCATCCTCTGCCTGCACTGCGTAGCAACATTTCTTCCTTTCTTGCAGCCGTGATCGAGAGAGCTTCCTCCGGGCTGGGTTCTCAAGCTGCTTCGAACCAGCAAGGACTGGTCAAGGGATCCACAGAGCTCGCAAAACGGACGCCCGCTGAGCTAAAGAAGGGTGAGTCAGCACACAAGGGACTCAGACCTTCGCTCGGCCGCTTTGCAACCAGAAGCGCATTTGTGGCTCGCTACGTGACAAGCCCAAACCACCAAATCCTCAATCGCTGACCTACATATACCCTTCCCGTTTGGTTCTTGACCGCTGCTCTACAGCTCAAAGCATCATTCGTGGTGTTCATATCAGCAGCACACAAGGACCGGGCATCAAGCTGGACCTCAGAGAAGTTTACTAAGGTCATGTATGCGCCCAGCGCAGAGCCACCAATACATCCCTTGCGTATGCTGTGCCTGTAGCTTTTCCCGAGAGTGTATTGCAGCATCGCCAATTTGACTCGTTGGGGTAAGCGCTCAGGTGCTCCTCTGGCCTGCGCAGCATGACGCTAAGGTACTTGGAGGTGCACTGTCTCGCCATTCTTGCATGCAATGCTCGTCATACCTCAATATAAGCTCAGCGTTGTGTTCAGATCACTTGTCGTAGCCTTCAATCACGAATGTCCTCTTCTAACTTTGAGTGGGATGTTAACTCCATCGAGTGCTCATGCGTCTAGAAATGCAGATCGAACAAATGCGCGAGGTATGATGTTGACTCAGCACAAAGGGGCGAGGGCACTTGATAGTTGAAAGAGGAATACGTGGCGCACAAAATCGAGGTAGGGCTATTTCAAGGCAAGCCTCGAATTTTGCTCGACCATCCCATGGCGCACGTTCGGGCAATAAGTCTAATCGATTCCTACGGCCCAAACTTCCAAACCCACACAATCAAAGCGATGTTCGGTCGTGCTGTTGCGTCGAGCCAAGGGAGCAGCAGGCGGCGCATCGTCGCAAAGCGGATCGTTGTCAAAAGCCGGGCACCTACAGCTGATGCCCTTCTCCAACTTGCCATCTATCCAAAGCCCATACCTTCCTTCTCCACCTCCGAAGGATAAGTATTCTGGCTGAGTCAGCACCATGTAATCGTTGGCTCCCGACCAGGGATAGGTTTGCACCTTGAGCGAAGCGCTGGCGGATGTTGCAGCCCCGTCTGTCAGATCCACACCCTCGTCAGTTGGTGCTCGACACGTTCTCCAGAGAAAGCTGCACAGCACAAAATGGGGTTCGCATCAGCACGAGTGCGGGCAGACTTGCTGTCAACTCATCTCCTCCATGCACGCACCATTCACCGCTACCATAGTAGCCCGCTTGAGGCCTCAGTCGCTCGTTCACATAGGCACCAAAGACATTGTCATCTTCGTCCTGAACCGCCACAACGATTCCAGCATCTTGGAGCTGTAGACCTGCACCCACAGCTTTCACCTTGCCATTTCTACTAGTGTTGGAAGGTGAGATGGAGCGCCCAGTAGCAGCGGCCATGGCAGCTCCACTCGCGCCCCTCATCCAGCCTTCCGCATGCTCTTCCGTCCTGTCCTCCTCCCCAAGAGGTCTACTCCTCTTCGGGTCAAGTCCCTTCTCCACATTACCGTACAGCGTCCCAAGACTGATACCATGTTGATCCAAAGAGTACAGCAGTTTCCAGCTCTTTCCCAACCTCGATCGGGCAGGTAGAGAAGCCTGGATTCGCGAGGCGTGCCAATTCGTTATGACTCCCTCGATATCATCTGATCGTCCATTCAGCTTCACTTCGATGGGTCGACGACTTCTTTCCGCCTCGCCCGCTGCTGAAAGGGACCAGGAGCCTGTGTTCCAGCGCTTCGTCGAATTTGCGTCAAAGCCCGGTGCTCCAGAAATTGGAATGGCAGGGGCGGACGCTGGCGCAAGACTGGCCGATGATGTGGGGTATGAGCGAGACGCAGAGCTAGACTTGCGGCTAGGACCCGGCACATTGACTTGCAGCGAAGCAGCGCTTTGATTCCGGCTCTGGCTCGGACTATTGTTGAAAGTCGCTCGGTCAGTCCACTGAGCAGGTAGCGGTGAATGCCCTCGCTTCGATTGATCCATGGACGGAGTTCGGCTGGCCTTTCCTTGCTGCGGTTGTCTAGCCGACCAAGCGGGTTTAGCTTGCCCTTCGTGGCCAATCTCATCACCGTCATCTGAAAACCCTTCCGTGGCGGGGACGATGAAGTCAGAAGCAGCGGGAAGATGCTCAGCCAGTCCTGCCGGGAAGCCTCTGATCGAGCCCCACGTCTTCCTCAAGCTACCTGTCCAGCCCAAAGAAGAAGGCGTAGATATCTGTTCAGACGTGTGGTCAGGTTCCTTTTCACCCCTCGCTCCTCCTCCGTGAGCTTGACCTCCGCCCCCGTTCGAATCGGCCACAGCACCAAAGTAGTCCCGACTGCTACTTGCGTGCGGAGCGGTGCCAGATGCGCTGAATCTGACTTCCAGAGGGCTCGATCTCGCGTCATGCATGTTTTCCAGATCATCACCCAAGAGCCCAGGGCCTGTCTCTCTCTTCCTTCTCAACGTCTCTTGCGGCGCTCTTTCAAACAAGGCAAAGAAATCCTCCTCTGCATTGTTCGTCGATGTCGTCGCTGATGACGAGTCCCATTTCTTGCGAGCTTCTTCCAACTTGCGCTCCGTAGGACGAAGATCTATTATGGGAGGACTAGCCCTTGCGCTGGCTTGAGCATGCGCATCCAGCGCGGCTCTTTCGAACGCTGCGAAGAACTCATCATCTGCTGAGTTGCCGGATAGGCTGTGAGCGTTACGCGGAGGGCTAGGCTGATTGTTCGAGCTTTGGCCAGCCTTGCGAGTTTCGTGACCCGCGCTCCATCCAGGCTCATCCCAGTCAGGCAGATCAGGCGCACGAGGTTGCGTAGGGCTGGAGAATTTGTCCACATATGAAGCGTCGGCCCACTCCTCTTCCTCTGCTGATGATGAAGGTGGTGGTAGTGGCTGTTGGACAGATGCTACCTTTGGGCGATGAATTGGACTCGTTTTGGTGCTCGTCCGAGAAGAGCTGGCTGCAGCGTTTCCCGCAACCTGACTTGTGCTCCAGACAGCGTGCTGAGCCTTGGACGGAGAAAAGCTCGCTTCTTCTGTAGGATCGACAAACGCTCCAAAGTCTCCATCTTCCTCTTTGTCGAGAGCGTCAGCTTCGAAGGTGATCAAGGAAGGCGGCGGCTGCGCTTGCGCTTGCGCTCCGGCTCTGGTCGGGCTCGAGCCGCTGGCTCGCGAGGACGACATGGTCGAGCTGGACTTCGGTCTTGTGTCGAACGAAGATTCGAAGGTCCAGCTTCGAAGATTGGAAGCAAGAGCTGACCGCTGCAATCGTGAAAGACGGGAAGTAACACGTCCGACACTCACACTCGTGACTGCAAGTCAATGTTTGACGCTGAGCCGTTCAATCAAGAGTCTGCATGCAGCCAACAGCTCTGCATCATCATCACGCAGTCGATCGTGAGTCTGAGTGCATGGTGAGTGCATGAGTCGTTAGCGCGCTGGCCCCGCCGGCGGCAGCAGGGACGATCGAGAGTGCTGTGAGTGCAATCGGCGCTATTCGGCCGAAGAGGGTCTTGGTGAGGTATCAAAGCTCGTGCACTCACGACTGCGCGGTTCATGAGCTCACGGCTCACGATTCTAATGACTATGAAACCGCATGGCCATCCTCAGTACCGACTGTCACAGACTTCATAAGCACCCTGACTGTACGCTCACTGACTGCCTTGCCGAGCCAGCTGCGACCACCCGTTCAACATGCCGTCCTGTCTCTCGTCGTTGAGATCTGTGCTGGTGCCTCAGCGCGACCGGAACTCTCATGTCTCGCAAGAAGGCCCCAGTCAGCGGCCATCCACACAGGGGGTCGCGCCCTCTCCTCAGGAGGAAAAGTGTGGTCTGAGCATAGAGTCTCATTCGCACTCGCACACGGGCTGCTGCGACTTCACACCGCTACCCGTATACTCCGCTCATGACGGAACGATCTCGGCTCACGTACAGCAGACCGACTTGCCGGAGCCTTCCGATGAGGCCAAAGAGGTGTTTGAGGACCTGCAAGCAAAGATCAATGCTCTTGACAAGGAGCTTCGAGATCTGAGCCTCAAGATGTGGGACTTGAAGGAGGTTGCGTGGGAAGAGAGGTGAGCAGCAGCTAGCCACGCTTCTGCTTTAGCCGCGGAGCAGACGTGGGCGATTCGAGGTGCAATGTATGCGCATGTGGGGTGTATACGCAGGGCGTAGCAGTAGCTCAGAGCCTCACTGAGATGCTGCACATCAATGCTGACTTCAAAGCGATCCATCTTCACTTTAATAAGGAAAACGCACGATCTCTTTATCGACTACTTTACCGACCTCAACAAGCGTGCCCCGAAAGGCTCACCTCAGTGGAAATTGACCCCGCACGCTCATGGATTTGAGACGGCCTGGAGGGCAGAATTTGTGAACGCGCCAAATGGGGAGGCCAGCAAAGATATCCCTTGCGTTGGTTTCAACTCGTGCGTAGCCGGTACATTGACCCACTGGTAATAATTCCGAGGTGGTCTGACCATCTGTGCCAATCTCCATCTAGCGAGCTGGACGCTTTGCCAGGCATCGGCCACGCATGCGGACACAATCTGATCGCAATCGCGGGCATTGCTGCTTCATTGTCCGTCGCTTCGCATCTGGTCGAAAAGCGCATTGCGGGTAAAGTCACCCTACTAGGAACACCTGCGGAGGAGCGCGATGGAGGAAAGATCGACCTGCTTGCCAAGGGCGCTTATGACGGCATGGACGCGTGCTTGTGGGTGCCGCCGCGCTATCTTATTCGATACGCAAGCTGTAGCTCACAAGTGAGATGCTGACCTTTCCAATCGAATTCAGGATGGTGCACCCCACACCAGCAAACACCGTCGGCTCTTTCCTGGCCGTCGTGCCAGTGAGGGTGAGTCGTCGCCTTATCGCGGTAGGCAAACAGGACCGCGGCAGCCAACAGATAGGCTCATCGAGGCTAATGGACATGAGTGCTTTCGGATGAGCGCTGACTTGCATGCTTGACTCATCGGACAGGTCGACTTTTCCGGCAAGACGGCTCACGCCGGCATGGCTCCGTGGGAAGGTGTCAATGCTCTCGACGCTGCTGTGCTCGCTGTGAGTTCTGTCACACCGGACCGTGCAGCGCGGCATGCGCGTCATTTTGAGCCTCCTCACCGCCCTCTGTCGCCCAAAGTACAACAACATCAGCTTGTTGCGTCAACAGATCCGACCTGATTGCCGAGTGCACGGCATCATCAGTGGAAATGATTGGGCACCGTAAGTAGAGAGGTTCGGTCTTCGAGCACAAGCCTGTAAGTGCTGCTCTCGGAGCGCGTGAGTACTCATCGACCCGTCTGGTTCTGTACACAGCAACGTGATCCCATCATCTTCTCGCCTGACGTACAACGTTCGAGCTCCCGACGTTGCCACCCTCACGCCCCTACGTGAGAGGGTGCACAAGTGCTTTGAAGCCGCTTCTCTGGCCACAGGTTGCAAGGTCGACATTACGTGGGGCAAGACTTATGAAGATACTAGGAACAGCGCTCCTTTGAGCTTGGCTTACAGAGCTCTTATGAAATCGGTCTACAATGCGGATTATAGCACTGCCAGCGTATCTGGAAGCACTGGTGAGTAGATGCGTCCAGGACATCGCGTGCAAGTCTAAGAGCGCGCTAAACGCCAGTATCCTGTTGTCCCTCGTGTTGTTGATAGATTTTGGCAATGTCACGCATGCGCTGCCAGGCTGTCATCCTACGTACGCCATCAAGTTGGAGAACCCCGCAGGGGATGGCAATCACACCATCGGATTTGCGAACGTGAGTCTGGTCGGCCTGGCGAATTGAAACCAGGAGCGTCTGGGCACTGCGAGCGCTGTACGGTATGCGCCCGACGTGTGCGCTGAAGTTCTGCGCCTTACTGAATTTTCCAGGCCGCCAAGACGCTCGAAGCGCACGAGCGTACCAAAGAAGCGGCTGCGGGCATTGCTACGGTCGGCACACAGGCTTTGATCGACGCCCAATTCAGAAAGCAAGTCAAGGACGAGTTCGAGGCATGGAAGAAGGATCAGAAGAAATGATCGAGATCGGCGATCGAAGCGCAGACCAGTCAGCGCGAGGCCCGAGCAAATGATTCATAGACAGGTAGTCCTAGTGTACATTCTTGCCGGCATTGCCTTCAGGTATCCGAGCTTTCCACGCATTATTCCTAGCGCACTCTACATCCCGCGTCATTCTGGCCCTCACAGCATCCTCCACGCGCTTCCTCCTTTGGCTTTGCTCTTCCTCTGTTTCCGAGTCTATAAGCAACTCCCACGTTCTTCGACGACCGAGCAGAGCCCAATTTCTCGTGCTGGGTATCCTCAATACTTCCTTCTCAATCTGAAACCCTGCGCTGAGGTGCAGATGGGAAATGTAGTGGATGTAGGCTATATTTCGAGAGGCTGATGTGGTCGACGTGACGTTTGAACCTGCGTTGGACGGGCCCAAAAGCAAAGCTTGTTGCGTTTGCTCTACCAGCTCGTTCATCATTTTGCTCCGTAGTTGTGCAGCTGCACTCGTCTCTTCTGTCCAATGGACGCCGCACGAGCCTTTGCTCAGACCAAGCAGATGACAAACTTCTTCATTCTCTACACGAAAGCGGGTCCGACCAAACTTGCAGCCGTCCATGTTCCATGCGCAACAGGGAATATTCGCAAAGCTGCAGCCGGGAATGAGCGCAGCGAGCGCTGGGATCCATGGTGTGAGTTCGTCCGAATGATTAGCGATGAGGAAACAGCCTGGTAGGAACTTTGGCGTGTTGCTTTCAGTGAGGATTCCGCCTGTGTTGGTGCTGGGATCGGACATGCCGGAGTTGAGAAGGGAAGCAATGTAGAGGGGAACGTCGAGAGAGTAGACGTGTAGGCTTGCCCCGCCTGGTGCGCGTCTATGAACATCCCAAGATCTTCGCGCTCGAAGATCGAAACCGTAGCCGGTGTAGCCCTGGAGTGAGTCAAGAGAGGGCAAAGCCGGAGGACATCTTGTCAAATTTTCGTTTCGCGTTTTGCTACCGCAGCCCATGCACACTCACCTCTGCGTTGAGAATATGTACCAGTAGACCATTCCCGCAGCCTACGTCTACGAATCCCCCCGGAGGTCTTCCCCAGCTGTCCCAGGGTCGTTTTGCTTTCCCGTCTGCGGATGTCGAGGTCTCGCCAGACGTGCTGCTTGGGCAATCATGCGCGTACATGTCCTTCCAAAGACACATCAGCCAAGCAGCTATGCCCAAATCTTCAAAGACGTGCTTATCAGCATCCGTCACTTCGCACCACGTATCGATTAACCTTGCAGCGTGCAATCTCTTGAGTTCCGAATAAGTGTCCATATACTCTTCTTTGCCAACTAGACGATCGTGCGTCACTCGTTTTTCGTAGGAGTGTAGAGCGCCCCAGGCGTGCTTGGATTGAAGTGTGAGTAGAGAGAGCGCTGTCCGACTGAGACGGTCTGCAGCTTGCAGTGGGAAGCTGGTCGAGGAGAATGGAACAATGGAGATGCGTCCGATGCCCCTCACTGCAAGACTCTGGTCTGGGAGCGAGCTAGAGACCGCTGCTTCTGGTAGCGTGTGAAATTGAAAAGCCATGGCTCGCACCGCTGGATGGTAGAAGGGAATCTCAGCTACACTCGCCGGCAGCTCGAGGGGAAGTTGGGACTCGTCTGCGTGTTGACTTGCATCTTCAGCCTGTACTCCCATCCAGGCATTCCTGCGATGAGATGTGGCGGCATCTCGCATTTGTCCAATGGAAGTAGTGCCTGAGCGAGATCGGTAACACGTATATACGACCAAAGCGTCTCTCAACTTGCATTCTTCACCATCATTTGCCGCCTTGATCTCACGGACTCGCTCGTAAAAACAGCATTCTTGCTCGATGGGCCAATCAGCCTGAGCTTTGCGAGGTATGATGCGCCGATGTACGCTTTTCAGCTTGCTCCACCCACCCACACCTATCGGAGTTGCGTAAGTGTGGGACTCGACAATGTCTGCGCGGGAGATCCAAGAACTGCTCCTTTCAGGATGCTCCACCAACGCCTGCATGACGCTCTCCCAGTGCTCCACCGCCGTATGCATATCCGCCACCGCGATATCCTTCCATGATGGTTCGCCTGACCTGCGTCCTGAGGACTCGTAGCTATCCGATTGCTTCAATGGCAAACCTGAAAGTCGTATGTCGAGCGCTTCCAGCATGTCCGTCGAGCCTGCGCCTGCGCCCGCACCCCCGCCATCGACGAGCAATCGAGCATTGCATGGTGGGTAAGCAGGCACCACGCGATTCTCTCTGCCGTCCTTGGGTTCCGTGCCTTTGGGTCCCTTGGGCATTCTTCAAGACGTCGTTCTGCCTATGCAGACCATCGACCACGCATGCTCAATGACGAACACGCTGGATCTGTTCCTTTGGATTTCCGTGTAATGCCTGATGAGTGACGGAAGAAGAGCGAGAAATGGGCTTGACCATCCGAGCAGAAGGAAAAAGTCCTTCTCAACGCAGCTAGCTCCGTCGCAACACGGACAACACGGGAAAGCCAGGCTCCGCGGATATCCGCGGGGCAAAGTGCAGCCATCGCAGCAGCACGCGCGTGATGAGCAGGAAATTTGTCTGGACCGCGGATCATACACACACAGGAAATCGAGTGGGATTACTGCAAGCATCATCTGCTGTCTGTACGCTTTGAGGTCGCCTCGATCATCAACGCTTGGCTCTCATCCATGACATTTTCAACACGCGCCCAAGCTCGCTCTGTCATTCGACTATCGACAGCATCCGCACGCCCCAATTTCCCACTCGACACGACATCGTCACAATGCCAGCTGGTGCCACACGAAAAGCGCGCAGAGCGCAGGAGGGGAAAACATTACCACCCGGTCATTATGTGGATGCTTCGTCTACGCCGCAAAGCTCGACACATGACATAGGAGGGGCGAGCAAGCTAGTAATTGCGCAAAGCGACTCACAAGTCAGCATCGAGCCGGAGAGCGGCACCTCGACCGAGACGACGCCTGCCGTCAAGCCTCTCAAGAAGAAAGCGATCAAGGCGATGTTGGCCAAGGGTATTGCACCGCCAGACATGCCTAGCGCTTCGATTTCGACCGCAAAGGTCGCTAAAGCCGTCAGATTGGATTCTAGTGACCAAGGGGCGGAAAGCAAGAAGGGTGGGAAGAGGAAGCGTGGTGAAGATGGAGCAGAGAATGAGGAGAATGACGCGGGAGGCGAAGACAAAGCAGCCAAATCTGAAGCGAAGAGGTACATCGTCTTTGTCGGTGAGTAGCGGTACGAGCAACACGATATGAATCGATTGGCATGGCAGGAAGATCAACGACCAATTCCGGCGTGGTGCTAGACATGCGCCAAGGAACGCCTGCAGAGCTTTGTATGCTGAATGATGATTGTATGCGTGCAATTCCTTCCTCTTCGTCCCGCACTTCCATTCCAGGCAACATGTCATTCACATCGACCGCCTCGTCTCTAGCATCGCACTTCAAGACGCACTGTCACGAAGAGCCCAAAGTGCGTCTACTGACGACCAAGTACGACACTAGTGCCGCTCTGAAGCTATCCAAGTCGAAGCAGAAATCCATCTCGAAGGGCAAAGCATTGGATCCTGGCGCTAGCAAGTCCAAAGGATGCGCCTTTGTGGAGTTTGAAAACACTAGCGCTTTACAAAAGGCTTTGCAATTCCATCATACGCTGTTCGAAGGTCGATTGATCAATGTAGAATTGACCGCGGGTGGGGGAGGCGCTGGAACGAAGAGGGAGGAGAAGATCAAGGCGAAGAATCAGGCCTTGGAAAAGGAACGGGTGAGTGTTGCGGCACGACAGTCCCCGCGGTGGGTCGAGCCGAGCCCTCGCATGACATTCGCAATCAAGTCTCCTTCACTCCGCAACTGACTCCCTTTTCCCATTCCCCGGCAAAATTGACAGCAAAAACTGCACGAAAAGTACGTCGCGCCGAAATCAGAATCGAAAAAAGCTGCAGGTGGAGACTCGACAGTGTCCGAAAGACCGCCCAAACGTGCCAAGCCCGAGGATGATAATCCTACGTCGGGCGAAGGCGCAGCGCAATGGGGTTCGCGAGCAAAGGGCGGTGCATCGGAGGAAAGACAGAAAAGAGGTGGAAGGAGAGGAAAGAATGCTCAGGCGAATGCGGGAGGGGATAAGGGCAAGGGCCCAGGGAAGAGTAAACCTCCTCGATGGGCTGTTACGGGTGCTAATGCTCTCAAATTGCAAGGTTGATTGGCGTGCACCGTTGTTATGCTGCGCTATACGCGCGCGAGTGCTCGGCGGATCACCACTGGCTGAGCGCTTACCTGAATAGAGCATTGCATCACGCCAAGCACGGAATGCTACGTGCATCATTTCTTGAAGCAGCCATACTCAATGCTAAGGTCAGTGCATCGACGTGCGAATTCGAAGATGTCTCTATGCTACGCTTCTATTGTCGGCTCGGCCAATCGTAGCAGCTTCACGACACGACGGACAAGAAGAAAAAGGCACCGATGGGCGTTTTCAAAACCCTCCACATCTGTCTCGCACGTCAGAACCATCGCTGTGAAGGCGGTAGAAGTGCGTGAGCTATCTCTGTTTGAGCCCACTCATGACGACACGATCTTGGTCGATGATCGTGACATTGAAAGGTGGGTATATACCTGCGAGTAACCGTTTCATGTTCATGGATGAAAGTTGGCAGTGCCTTCCAGCTCAAGCTGTGTGGCTGCTTCCCCTGACGTGGCCGTCAGCACGACGTCGACGTCGAGTCAGCCGCTTTCCTCACTTCAGCAGGGCTTGATGCGGGCATGAAGATGGTGAAAGATCCGCGCGCAACAGATTCACGGTCGTGAACAGGCTACCAGCAGCGCGCGCGAGCTCATCAGCAGAGGCACGATGTGCTTGGCCCAGCTGCGTGAGCACTGCGCGGTACCCGTTGGGCGGTACGGTGCGTGGGTGGGCGGCCACATTAAATGCAGTCGTGAGACACGTGAGGCGCCAGAAAGCTGTGGACATCACAATCGTGAATCACGAATGTGAATGTGCCGTCGATTTGTGGAAGCTCCGTCGTCTATCTGTTTCTGAAGTCTTGAGTCGTTCATGTCGTGGCACGATCTTCACCGCACCAGCGAAGCAATTTGATAAGGCCCTCAAGATTCACAAGCGACTCAACTTGATGTGGATCTGGATGAAGTTAGAGCAGGAAACACGCCATACATGCGCATTCTAGAAGGAGCAAATCAACCCACGAGGACAGGCAGCCCGAAGGAGTGAAGGTGCGAGATGCGATGGAGCAAGGATACTGCCTCTTGACGGCCGGCTCGAACTCAGGCGGGCAGCTTGGAATCGGTCATGTGGACGATGCGCATTGCTGGACGCCAGCATCGAGCTCTCCAACTCATCTCGGATCTGGAGGTACATCTGTCGACCCCTTCCCACCACCCGGGTACCGCATCATCAAGCTAGCGAGCGGCGCCAATCATTCGATCGCCTTGTTGCAGCCGATAGATGAGCACCCAGGCTCTGGCGCGGATAATCAGCGATTCACGGTATGGTGTACGGGAGAGACGGTGCAAGGACAACTCGGCCAAGCTGCTCTTGAGTTGGCCAAATTACGGCCGCGATGGATGCCTCTGTGCCTAGAGCAGGAGCTCCGGACTGCGAACAAAGGTCTGGGGAATGCGAAAGACGGTGTGAATGCACAGGTCATCTCTGCCCAAGAGTCCTCCGCTGTGGATGTCGCATGTAGCTGGAATGCAAGCTTCATCGTCCTGAGAGCTTCGAGATCAGCAGATTTGGCATCGCCAGTCCATTCCGACGTGATTCTAGCGCTCGGAACTCTCAAAGACAATGCTTTCGGCGAGCTAGGTCTGTCTGATAAGCCCGGCGCGACCCCAGACAGTGAGCATGCAGCACGCATCCTAAACCTTGGTGATCTCGTACAGACCGGACCCCTACGAATTGAGCGGATCACTGCGGGACTGAGGCACGTAGTCGTCTTGGCTAGCTCTCACCAATCGGGCATCCAGTATATGCATCTCATAGGATGGGGAGCAGCCCGGCACGGACAGCTCGGAAGCTTCTCGGCCACCGAACCGTTGGGCACGCAAGCGAGTGCATCTCGTCCACGGACTGGGAGCAAAAGCACCGCCTCTTCATCGCCAAGAACCTCGACGCCCCGCGTGATCCGGACGTGGTGCTGCCGATGCAAGCCCAAAAGCGACGAACCGGACGCGCCGCACGGATCTTTTTCCTTGGCTGCGGGAAGGGAGCATACAGTCGTGTCTATTGCGGCCGGCTGGCAGGAAGCTTCGGATCCGATTCCGCCTTCAGAGACTCTCCGAGTACGCGTGTGGGGGTCGGATCGGAGGGGTCAGCGAACTGTCGCAGATGTAAATTTTTGCGAATCTGTTACGCTCAGTGTAGCTGCTACGTGGGATTCTACATTCCTCCTATGTGAAGGTGAAGGCGTAGAAGCTGGCGAAGAGAAGATGCAGATCTTGGCGTGCGGCAGTAACGCGCGAGGGCAATTAGGCTCGGTTCAAGATGAAGACGCAAGCTTGACAAGCAGCAAGAAGGTCCAGCAAGTAGCTCTTCCCGCGCACATTTCCTCCAGCTCGGAGCAATCGTGCCGAATGTCGGCGGGCTCGGAGCACGTGCTCCTGCTTTGCGAGGCTCGAATTGCATCTGCGGGACGAGCAGGTCCAGCGGAGGTCTGGGCTTGGGGCTGGAACGAGCACGGAAACCTCGCTCTAGGAGGCAGCATTTCTCCAAACTTACATCGCGAACAGCTCGAGCCGAGCACGATCGCTGTTGAAGAACAACAAGAAGGAGAAGATCAACCTGTACCAGTCAAGGTTTGGCCATCCAGGCTTGAAGGCAGTGTCGAGTCCGCAGAGACGCAGTGGGCGCATGCTAGGGCCACAAATGTCTGGGCAGGTTGCGGAACTTCATTTGTGCAGGTCCACTTGACCAAAGCATGACCTTTTCAGTCTTGTCTTTCTCGACCTGCATCATGAAATCCTTGTGATGGCCAGGCATGCATGTGCGCGCAACACCACGAGTGGGAAGATCGGTTGATGACTCGTGCCGTAATAATGGTACATTTACATTCAACCTGCAGCCCAGCGCATCAAGTCTCCTGCGCTCCTTATAACGTCCCCTTCCGAAGTCTTTGAAACCGTCGAGCTGCTGGATGCGCAAGTACAGAGCTGCATCTCCGCACCAATCATCGCGAGCGAAGCTCTGATCTTGTTCTCCGCTCTGAGCAGACTAGCATGAGCGGCCTCTACTAGCGCCTCGTCGATTTCCTGCTCCTTGTCCTGTACACCGACCTGTCTAGCGGCTCCTTTGGCTCCTTTCGAACCAACACTGGAACTGGAATTGCTGGTAACAGCAACGGCGGCGGCCGCAAAAGGATTAGGACCAAAGTTGAAACCGGGGCTTCGTAGTCCTTTATGCTTGAGCAATTTGTGAATCATATAAGCGCACCACATCAGGTTGGTCTCTGGGTGAAAAGCTTCCCAGGCCTGGCTTCTGGCTTTCTCTCCTCTTCCCTTTGCCTTTTCTGCTCCATTCGCTCGATGAATGAAAGCCCTCATGGATCTATAGATATCGAACTGTTCATCCCCTCCTCCTTCGAAGATCGTCTCGTCTTCGAATGCGCAGTAGATGGTTCCAGAGGCGAGCGTCGCTCGGCTGAGGGAGAGATCGATCAGACGAGCAGTAGCGCCCGAAGTTGCCGGTTGCAAGAGCCTCTCAACGACGCCCATCTGCGGTGGTAGATTCGCGTTCTGCACCGTCGTTGTCGCTCTTCTGGATTTGCTTGTTGAATAGCTGCTCATCTTTGCTTTGTGAAGCTGAGCTCGTTTGAGCGGAGAAGAGACGAGGGCCTTGCTTGGAGAAGTGGTCAAAAGAGGTCTGGACACATGACCCTTCCCCACCTGTCTGTTCATCGCAGCCTCTTCAATCCTTACGAGAACATTGCCCCAATGCAGATCGCGATGTTCAAAACGCAGCTCCTTCTCAGCACTCGCCAAGCTCTGCGCGATCTGCCAAAATACTGCAGCTGCTTGAATCCATCCTTTGAGCTTGACCGATTCCACATCCACTCCTCCATGCTCCAGCACAAGCACGGCGTATCGCTGCGAAGAAGGAAGACATGCCGGCCGGACGTTTTCGCTACCTCCCGCTTTGCGCTTATCATACGCATCCCAGGCGCGCATCAGCATTGGTGGGTAGACTCCGCAAACGACGTGAGAGCTGCAAACAAGCGCAGGACCCAAGATGATATGGGTCAGCTCGCTCTATTTTGTGCGAGCCTTGAGGATAGAGAGCGCGCGCTTCTCACCTCAACAATCTGATGAAGCCGCGACCACAAGCCTGCATGATGGCAACTTCTCTAGACACATCCTCCGCCTTGCTCTCTTCTGGCCACTCTCGCTCCTCTTGCTCCTCTTCCCTCGTTTCCGAGCATAGCGGTATGACCTTGATAACGATCTCGCCGATGCCAAACACTTCCGAGTAGCTCGCCTCGCCTACCTTTTTCCATCCACTAGCAGAGGCAGCGGAGGATGAAGAAGCAGCGAATCTGGAACGATGAGATGCGTTCGTATTGCTTTGCTCTTTGGAAGCGATCACCTGGCTTGCAAGCTGCTCGAGAAGCTTTGTGAAAGCCACCGGGGCGCATTGATCGCACAGACGCATCAGGGCATCCAATGGAGAGCCTTGCTGCTCTCCAAGCCCCACCGCTTTCCGACCTCTCGCCACCCGCGGAGAGGGAGGCGGGGAAGAGAGGTCAGAGCTGAGCATGGGTCTTTGCAGCTTTGTAGAGGATACGTTTAATCTGGACAACTTCTTCGTCGCCTCGTGCACTTCGTTTGCCCCTCTTTCAGTGGGCGTAGAAGATCCGGAAGCTGTGCTGCTGAGATCTGAAGCAGGTGCAACGGGTCGAGCAAGCACCGGCGCGCTCGCTTTCCTGTTTCCTTGTGCAGACTTGCGATCCGACGCTGCTTCACGCCTTCCCTGTGGCTGCGAGACGATCCTTCTCGGTGCTGCATCTCTGTTCCTACCGGCGGCCAGGCTGGATCGAGAGTCTACAAACCCTTTAAGAGCTAGGCGCGCAGGAGAAGGTGTGTTCTCGAGACATGCTAGTCTCTTGAGCGCCTGACCGGCGTCCGCCGCGGCATGCCTTTGTGGTCTCATTCGGTCATGTGCAAGGGGCTGTGTGGGACGCCTGACGCTGCTATCGCGGGCCTGGGAGCTTGATGCGGATGCGGAGGTGGAAGCGCTGTCCGAGGCTGAGCTTGCTGAACCCCAAGAGTAGTTGCGCACCATTCGAGGCCGAGGTGCCGCTTGTGGAGTGTCCCTGTGCTTGTCCATATCTCGAGTCTTGGCCTTTCCTGCGCTCTTTCCAAGTCCAGCACGCTCCTCCTCCATCCTCCTCCTCCTCCTCTCATCCACGCCATTGTGGGAGATGTCCATCAATGGCCTCCTGTTCGCAGCTGGAGGTACAGCATGGCTCGTCTTGGATGGTACAATCTTGACCAGCTCCACCTCATCTTCTTCCTCCTCCTCCTCGTCGGAGGAAAACGTCCATTTGGAGTTGGTGTAACCGACGGGCGGCGCTTTGCTCGTGCTCGTGCTTGTGCGACCGGGATCGAGCCGGCTAATGACGGATGAAGCGTGAGACATGATGGCGCTGCGTCCGTCCGTGCACCTTCACGAACCAAGCTGCGCGTAGCAGACTGAGCGATGGAGTCGACTTGGCTTGCCTGCTTTCGCGTAGGTCCAAGAGTGGTGTGTCTGTGTCATGCAGTCGCTCGCTAGTCGATTGGAGAGTCAGGGATCTTTCTTGGGCATTGCTGCAGCTGAAGGTCTCGCTGCAAACAATCGTGAATCGTGAATGATGAATGATTGACGTGATATCATTCAAAAGTTGTTGGCATTCTTGATGTGATGTGATTCTCTGACTGGGTGACCATAGAGTCCCTCGTGAGGCGTGAACACACTACTGTGACGAGGGAGTCAGCTCTGCTCCGCTCCGCTCTGCAAAATCAAGATGTAATCGTTCTCAAAAGCTGACTTGACGCGCAAGGAATAAGGCAGCCGCCATGCAGCAGTGCAGTCATAGCAGCGTCAAAACGAGCGAGCAACATCCAACACGCCCGGCGCCAACCCGACTACTCACACTCAAGACTGTTACGCGTGCCTCGATTCGATCACGTGCACACATGCGGCGTCTATCGGTATCACGTGACCATGCGGAAGCGCTCGATCGATGTGACCGGTGCCGAAGCTTCCCGCACGCCGGTCGAAAGGTAACGCACATGCTGATGTGTACGTGAGAGCCCACGCCCGCGCGCCGCGCGCACGCGTGCACATGTGTGACTAGGCCACCAGCCTATCTTTCAACAGCGAAATCCTGCAGCGCGCTACATACATCAGCTGCAGGGCTATAGCTGCGCCGTGCGCGCATGCAAGCATCACATCGCAGCATACGTGATAGCAGAGGCTTTTTGTTGGTCGCAAGCCGCGCTCGATCAACCAGCTGTGACTGGCGGCTGAATGACGGAAGATGTGAGTGAGGGTCAGTCACGAGTCAGCCAAGGCAACGTGAATCAATGTGAATCACGAATCAATCTGACGCATGATCATCAAGGCTGTATTCGTGATCGTCTACCACCATCACACATCACCTCACATCAGCAACCTCTTGACGGGCAGCGGGCTCTATTGGATCCCAACTGTTACTGCATCCATTCAGTACTCTGACCTGAAGATATAGCCTCTCGTCTTGTCTAGTCATCTGCATCAACCGCCCCCCCGCATCCACTTCGACCCATCCCGCAATCATGTCGGCTCTTCAACAAGTCATCCTGCATCCCTACCTGAGCCAACTGGTGCGTCCCTTCTCTCTAGCTGCTCAGACGCAATGACTTTCCGACGACTGACGTATTCATTTGTCCCCCCCTTGGCCCACTTCACTACGCTCATCTTTGCCAGCTCAAATTCTGGTCCACCACGGTCGGAAGGGACAAGACGTACAGGTCTATTCAGTACTTTGCTAGATTCTTGGCTTGGTACGAGTACAGAAAGGGAGCTACCAAGGAGACTGTGGCTCGTCTTCAGGCTCTCAAGAGCAGCATTGGTCTCAGCAGAAAGCGTGAGTAGCGCAACGCTGCACTTGCACCTTCCTCCCTCCTGGCGCGGCTCGATGCTTGTGTTGGAGGAATGGATCAGAGAAGATAGGAGAGACGTGAGGATAGGAACGTAGCACGCTTCTTCTCGTGTTCGCCTTTCCGTGCTAGGCACGTTGCGCTGTCCTTCGCTCGACGGAATGCGTGTCTCGCAAGCATACGTTCTGGAGAAGGGGAAACCACATCTTTCTTTTTCTGCTCCGCAGTCCGTCGAAGCGGCAGCTGGTGTTGCCTGCTCGTACGGAGCTTTGTTCTGGTCGAGGCGCTGACTAGCATGCTCTTCCCTCCAAATTGCTTCGCACGAATGCGCTCATCAGTGATGCGTGCGGGCAAGTTCCTGGAGCACATGCAGTCTGCTCTCAAGGCTACCACCATCAAGGACCCCTTTGTCGCTTATCTCGCTGTTGGACGCCAGCTGGGCTACATGTGCTACCTCACTCTGGATCTGCTACAATGGGTGAGTGATCAAAGTTGCATTCGTGATGTCCTGCCCTCGAAATGCGACAGCGGGCATTGCACTGACCTGCGCTGGATTCCCATTTGCGCAGATCCACGGTAGCAAGGCCTACCAGTTCGCCCCCGAGACGGCCAGCGCGATCAGCAAGAACGCCTCTCGATTCTGGCTCACCGGGCTTTCCTTTTCGCTGTTGTCTTCCGGCTACAAGACGTACGCTCTTCGTCAACGATTGGGCGCCGCTTCTCGTCCTCGCGCCACTGCCGAAAAGGAGGCGGAAAGGCGAGCTGAGTTGGCTCAGATCAAGACGGAACAGGCTAGCGTCAGGTACCAAGCTACTCAGGACGCAATCGACTGGTTGCTTCCCGCTACCGGAGCTGGATTTTTGGACCTCGACGAGGGCGTGCTTGGTCTGGCCGGCTTCACCACCGCTCTTATGGGCGCTCGCACCCAGTGGCGCGCCGTCAATGGCCCTGCTGGCGCCAAGAAGTAAAGCTGCCCCTCCTCCTGCTCATCGTCTCGTCCACGGAAAACCGTAACAAGGGATCCTGTTTGGGATTCGACGAGAAGGATGCGAACAAATTCGGATCACACATTTAAGACGTTTGCCCCGCGTAGGCTGGCGAGCGACCCTTTTTCAGTCTTCACTATGGTCGATGTTTGCCCCACCCCGCACTTGTCCACTTACAAGCTTCGAGTTGCAATGGATTGCGAAAAGGTCAGATTCGTGTCACTTGAGGTAGCAGCGCAGAGTTTCAAGGAACGGTTCGAGTGTGTGTGCAATCAGCGCTCGACGCATGAGCATTCACATTGCTAAGAGGGAGAAGCGAATGTCGCACATTATGTTACAGCACGGAAAGGCAGGGAGGGGCAAGGGCAGGGGCAGGCAGCACGTGTGGAGGTGCGATGGCGATGGGTGGCCAATTCAAATCAATACAGGATGAGGCTAGCAGCTGCACCTCCGCCCCACTGATCGTCGAACCAATCTGGAGCGTTGCCGAGCGTATCGCTGATGGACCAATACCTCTGCAATCGGAGTGCAGATTCCCCATGAGCCTTTTCGATGCTCACAGCTCTCAAATTGGTCAGGCATACGGTGCGATCTTGTTGCGTGACGCTTGCGATGCCTGCCATGATCCATATCGAATGCGAGTACCACCTCTCTATGCTCCGCACTGAAATGGGCGGCACGTTTGCATTGCAACGCAAAATGTCGCACAAAGCCGTTCGCACTTTGCAATACAGCGGTCCTCGGCCCAGACCGGCTGTATTGAGGTGAATGATGGCGGCCTTGGTGGGCAAGCGCGGCCCGAGCTCTTGATCAGCCTTTTCCTTTGCCTTCTTTTAGATTTTCGCACACTCCCGCGCGCCCAAACACTTACTCTGCGCCACGCTTCTTGTTGCCAGAATTTTGCTGCTCTAAAATACATTTTGAGAGGGGGGTAAAAAGGGCTCCCAAGCGTCAATAAGCGGCCAGAGATGACGACAGGCCTCGAACTGAGCTGGTTGAATCCTATCTCACCTTTGCGTCAAGGTCCACTTCTGACAGGGAGTCACCGTCGCTTCTAATATAGCAGCTTCCAGCTTCTCAGCTTCTTGCGCCGCTTGTTCCCCCGAGATCGTCTTGCTCTTGCGCCTAGCTCCCAGCTTGGAGCTTTGACACATGAGCAGGGGCAGCTCATGAGGGCACGCCGCGTCTTGAAGCCAGTACACCGTGCGCAAGAAAGCAATGTCTGGTGTTGGGAACGTGCACGTGGATAGCGTGCTCTCGCTAGCTCGTTGCATGAGCTCGGAAACCAGAAGACGGCTCCACACGTCTAGCATGGCATCATCTTGTGACATGTGTGGTGTGACTTGATCCATCGTCAGTAGCTCGGGCTCTGTGCGGTCCGGAGCAGCCGGATGAGAGAGCTGTTCAGGAAACGCATCACGTCGGCGGTAGCAGGGCGTATCTTCGTTAGCTTGGCTAGCAATACGAGCCAAGGCCACACTCACAATCTCTGGCAAGCGATCCATCAATCTTCGAGCCGTCATACTGCCTTCCACGCAGAGCTACGAAACGGCGTCAGCAAGGATGCTGCCGCTGTATCGCACATTCGCAACACTCACCACAGCGCATTTTAGATTGAGAATAGTCATAATCTTCACTTCCAAGGGGCTGGAATGGGAAAAGGGCGAGAATAGCAGAGAGTAGGCCAGTTGCCACCAAGGCGCCGGCGAAAGGACCATTTGGCTAGCTTCCGATCTTTGCACTTGGCGCCGCCTAGCAGCGGCATGTAGATGCGCAGACGAGGTACGGTCGGGCTCCGAGGGCATCGTGCGACGATCCCTGCCGTCTGGCTGACCATTCCCGACGCCATTTGGCATAGCACCGTCTGGCGAGGCAGCGTGCGGTGATAGACCAGACTGCTGGAATGCGGCGCGGGCTAGCCGAACGACGGGAAAAGGTCGAGGAGGCGAGCGTGAACGAGGAGATGCGTCGAGATCGCATTCGCTCTCAGACTCGATGTCAGCCTGAGAGTGTCTTCTTTTGCGTTTACGAAGTCTGGAGCTTCTCCATTCCTCGCCATCATCTTGGTCATCCGACTCTTCCTCCACAACTTCTTGCCCAGATTCATCCGGGTACAAGTCTTTTGCCTTCAAAGAGCCTTGACGGCGCTTGTCTGCACTTGTCGGGTCCAGGCTCGGATCACCAAATAGCCGCTCGTGAAACGCAGCGACGACTGCCACCACGCTAGCTTTTGACATTTCGTTGGTGCATGCAATCTCGAGGAAGCGCGGCAGCCACGGTGCATCAGCAGAGTAGATGAGAATCAGCTTCGAGACTGCGAGTGATGCAGGACACGATAGGATGCATCAGTGGACGCGAACCACTGCCTACACGATGACTAGCCAGCTCTGCTTGGCGACGTCTCGACTCACAGATCGGCATGTAGTGCTCTAGCAAAGCATCGAGGCGCGAAGATGCGAGGACAGGACGCAACGGGGCGCAAGATTCGCCCGTCCCGCCGTTTGCTGGCGGCGAGCAAGTGCTAGGCCAGGCTTGCGTAGAGTGGGAAGATGTGAACGTCTCAGCCGTGCGCCTAACAGGTGGCTCGGGTTTGTTCAGGAGATTCTGAATATGCGCAGGTGTGTTCCGCTCTTGGCCTCGATCGTGGGATTGACGGGCAGGAGGTGCTGCAGAATGAGCGCTGGTAGAAGTCGCAGAGGTGTGGACGAGGAGGCTCTCTTGACTGTCCACTCGGTTCACGCTTGCTGTGGGATCAAAAGACTTGCCGTTGTGTATCAATCCGGCAGAGCCTGGGGTGCTCCCGTGGGCATACGAGTCTCCGCTCCTTGGCGTGGCACTGCTGTCAGCAGCGATGGCAGCCAAAGTGCGCATAAATTCGTTCCAGCCATCTGCCTGTTGTTGGTTAAAATTCTGGCCCACGTTCCCATTGCTTGCAAGGTCAACGCCATTGAGATCGAGTGGAACGGAGTGAGCAGGAAAAGGCGCAATGTCGTTAGGAGCATCGGAACGCCAGGCTGAGCTTGACGTGGTGAAATCGAGCGGCCAAGCCGCAGAAGTCGTGACGCTTGGCGTACTCGAGATGATCGGCTGCGCTTCTACGCGCGTAGCTCCAGACGACCATCTTGCTGCATTTCCAGGCTGCGAAGAAGCCAATTCGTGGGCCGATGGTACAGCAATGCTAGGGGATGCCGTGTTGGCGGGAACTGGTTGAGGAGCGGTAGTTATGCCGGGCACCAGAGGCAGCGGAGCGTGACCAGCTGGCAGATTGTAGAAGAAGGGCAAAGTCGAGGATGCTGTTCTTGACACGTGCGCCTCAGAGCTGGGTGGGATGGATTGGCTCTCGCGTGCAGCTGGTAGAGATGGTATTGCCCCTCTCTCTCTTGGCGAGCTGGCACGACGCTGCCTGGGCGACGAGTCGCTGACCCTGGCTCTTGCCTGCGTCATCGCCTCTGCCGAGTTCCTTGGTGGATGGCATACTTCTTGCCTGGCCTTGCAAGCTTGACAAGTCAGTCTCTGAGCTGCAGCATCGCTGCTCGAGCCATCGTTGCTGCTTGCCGAAGCAGCGATCAGCTCCCAATCCTGATCGCAGCGCTTTCGACGCTGCTTGCACGTCCCGCATCCACGTCGGGAGCGTTGTTCCGCGTGCCTTTCCGGCGACATCCTCGTGCGGCCGCGCTCGAAGGTGCTTTTGGACCACTTTTGTTGCCTGATTGATAGTTTGACGAGCTAGCCTGCTCTCCCCTGAAGCTCTCAGAGCCTTGACATGCACCAACGTGATGAGATTGCTGATGAGGAATGGTCAGGCTCCAATCACACGCAATTTGAACGTCTTTGACACCGCCTCGCGCGCAATCGCAATGCTCGAAAAACGTACACAATTTGAATACCTACCCAACTCACTCACTCTGCTGAGCTGTGATGCAGAACTCTGAAATCTCAAGTCAAGTCAAAAGTTGAGCGAATCTGAATTGAATCTGAATCGCGGTGCTCTCACACTTAAAATTGCAGCACGCGCAGCATGACTGCCAAGACTCACGGACTTACAAGCATGCATAAATCGCGCTGCACGTTATTTTAGTCACACAATCACCCCGCTGCTGTAAGATGACTTACTTGCCCGCCATGCCATCGGGGAGCAACGTTTGATCACGCCTCACCGCTCGTGACTGCGACACTTGGCCATGACAGCGTGGAAGCGACAAGGGGCGAGTCAAGTTGCGACGTCCTTCGGGCTCGCGTGTGCGATACACTTGAGCACACATCGTCACGCACTTATGATTGAACGATATGCAGGGAAGTGCTTCCTGGTGAGTACGTGAATCACGAATGTAGCGAGCCAGTCGTGAGTGTGCGGAGTGCAGCCAACGAGCGCACAACCATATCGAAGCACTCAAGATGAATATTTACATTTGCGCATTTCTAGACTACTAGCAGGCATTTCCTGTAACACTTGACACTGTTAATTGCCCCCCGCGAATGATTTCAAGGTGTGTGTGTGTACAATAAAAGAATTCAGCGCAGATGCGTATGGGTGGGAATCGTTCTTGGTGTTTGTGAGGATGACAGCATCGCCGCCACGTGAAGGGCCTGTCTTAAGCAGTCGCGCTGACGGAGACAGGACGAGGAGAGGGGGAGCCCGTTAGCTCGGGACCGAGACCCACTGCAGTCGCGCTTCCGGTGACGGATGGGGAGGCGTCATCAGATGCGAGGGGAGTTGCGGTTGCAGTAGCGCTGGATGCCGCAGAGGAGGAAGCGGACGAGTTTGCGGGTGGTGCGACAGGGAGGGGAGAATCAAAGGTGATGACAGAGACAGCCAGGGTATTGTCATCGCTGACGGTCGAGTTGTCGGTGGTGACGATTGCGTAAGCCTGACCACCGAAAGTGCCGTTAGTTGGCAATGTCGCTTGACCATTCTCGATGGGGACGAAGGACGGAGGCAGAGGTCCCTGGACAATGGCAAGGTAGGTCGTGTTGCTTGCGCTCGATGTCGTGTTCCCGCTACCGGTCGCGTTGACCTGCGCAGCGTTGCCGCCAGTCTGCTCATAGTCGAGCTGAACGCGTGCGCCTGGTGAGAGCGCACCGCTGCTGGGCTCGGCGCTTTGTGCCGTCGCATTGTCGCCTTGGGCGGGGCTGACCGTCAGGGCGGGGAAGGCCTTTAGTCCGAGATCTTGAGGGCAAGACTCGAAAAATGGAGCGGCCAAAGAGTAGACGGTGCGTTGAGAGGTCAAAGGAGTGTCAAAAGGAGAGGGGGCAGCATTGTCCGTCGAGTTGCTCGCAGCTGCCGCGGCGGCTAAGACGATAGAGCTGTGACGAGCCTCGGAGGTCAAGATACTTCCAGCGGCAGCTAGGTAGGTCTTGTTGCTGATCGAGGGCGCTGCGCCGAGGTACGCAGAGACACCCACACCTTCGAGAACGGTGGCGGTGGCCAAGAAGGAAGCGACATCCGTGACGCTACTGAAGTTGTAAGTGCACGGTTGAACGGCCGACTCGCCCAAAGCCTGAGTCAAGAAAGCAGCGTGGGCAGCCTCATCCTGACCGACGGAATACAGCTGGTTGCGGACGCTAGCGTTGAGTCCAACGGCTTGGAAGTCCTCATCGCCAAAGCGAGCGATGGATTGATTGTAAAAGGCAGCTTCAAGATGCTCGAGCGTCAAAGCGTACTGAAGAATCTCAGTGTCATTGTTTGCCGTAGCACCGGGAGACGTGGTTCCACTGGCTGTCGATGCGCTCGATGCAGCGCTTCCTGTGGCAGTCGCCGAACCCACCGCGGACGAGGACGCAGCAGACGCAACGGACGCAGCACTAGTGGCGCCAGATGAGGCTTGACGGGCGTTGAGAACAGCAGGGGCTGCCTGTGCCACGGAGGCGAGGGCAAGGGCTGTGGCGGCGGAGAAGCACTTCATGATGTCTGGGGATGGTCAAGGGATGGTCGAGAGTAAGGGGAAGGGATGTAGGGTAAGGGGCAGTTGCACATCTTATAGTCCTGCACACCTTCCTCCATCTTGACGAGGCGCGAGCACGGGCTCTGAAGTCCTGCTGCTCCGATTTCGGTCCAGCATGAGAGCTCAGTCGTCATGTCACAGGGTCTTTTGCCGAGCACGTTCGGATGAAACTGCCGTCGGAGTCTGACCCACCGTCACATCTCAAGTCCTAAATTTGGCCTGCGAACGATCGGCCGATCGCTCTGCTGTGCCTAGGCGGCATTCGTGGTTGATCGGATGCCCTTGAGTATCGTTCCTGCTCAGCTGACTTTGCCAATGCGAGCCTTGGCTTCCTTCCGCTTGGGACATAGACAAAACCCTGCGAGCCGTGTCGTGCCGGAGTCCTGAATGGGCTGCAGGTTTGACCTCGCTTGCCTTGTCGCTAAGGAACTCGAGCACTCGACAGAGGTGGCCTGATCTCAGCCTGCTAGCCAAGCCACTGCGATTGCCAGTCGTCGAAGTACAGATTGTACCGGCGCAGCGCCGCAAGCGAGCAAGGGTTTGATGTCGCTAGACTGATGACTGTTAGCAAGCTGTGGGCAAACTTACTGTACACCTTACGGCGTCCTGGGCAGTGACCGTGCAGCACGCACTGAGTCACCCTCAATGATTCATTCACAAGATCAGCTATGGGTGTGGCGGTGCGAAGTGCATGTCGTGATTTCGAAGAAATGGCCGAAATTTGCTTCCCCACACGCCCTGCATCCGTGAAGTTTGTGCAACGCTTCTGGCGTGAGCTTGACCTCAAGCGGAGTCTGGAAGTCACAGGTCTGAGCAGTTGAGCGGAAGCGAGTCGCCGCGAGCTGATAGCGCTGCTGCTGCATGCACAGCGGCTCTGCGCATGCAAGATGACGAAGGTTGCGCGTCGCGAAGGGCTGCCGGGGTTGGAATCTTCTCGAGTCAGGTCTGACATTGTGTACGGCACGTGAGAGGGATGGTTCTCGCTCCAAGAGAATGACTTCTTCTCGCTTTGGTGGTCGACAACGGGCACCGAATGCAACCAGCTTTCACGAATGACTGGAGGTGAACGACGATGTTGAGCGAAAGTCGTCGACAAGTACGCTATCGAGCACATTGCCCTTCAAGCGAAGCTCTCCCAACTTCCCTCGGCCGAATGCGCTACAATGCTAGGAATATTTGCATGCGCTGCTGCACTCTGATTGTTGCTATAGGGTATGTACAGCAGCGAGGACTTGCAATGCATCTTGAAGTCGATCTCTGAAAGCAGGCAACTGGAACATGGCTGTGGCAAGCGAGGCCAGCGGCGCAAAGTATCGTGGACGATGATGCCCTTGTCAGCATCATTGTGGTAACCACAGGCCTGACGTACCGGGGATCAATGCTACTCACCCATAGCCAATTTGAGTATCCTGAGCGTAAGAGCAGCTACGCTTTGAGCTGAGGTGTCTGCTTCTCTAGACTCTGCGGATGAGGAGGAGTCGATGCTGCTTCGTTCGCGAGTGTGGCTGTGCGACAGAGCTGAATTGAGGACTGTATGCTGCCGGCTGTCTGCGCTGGCATGCGGGTTCGAGACTTGCGCAGACCCGCGGCCCCTTTGCTGCGCTCGCTCATCTTGCCTCCTTTGTACCCTGTAACTTCTTTCATTCACCACTCCTATCAGCTCTTCGGTGCCCAGGAGCTTAGTGCGAACACACGCGATTCCTCCTTCAGACTCGTTCGTCCTCTTTCCCCGCTCCGCGTCCCTCATTGCTCTCTGATCGTCCGCGACCGCCAGAGTCTGAGCAGCAGAAGCGATGTCCCCGAGTCCTAGCATCATCGGTATCAAGTGCTTTGGGCATTTGTCGAGCGATATGGATGAGGCCTTGTTCGACTCGGTCTGGACACATCTCACAACGACTTGTCGAGGAGGACCAGCAGTATTAGAAGACGTCTCTCCGCGCTCCACGTCAACGCGGTACAGTGCTACGTCGAGGATGGAAAGCGTCAAAGCGGCAAAGTAGGCCCTTGAAGCGTATCCTTCTCCTCGTGCACCTTGATGGCCTTTAGCAACCAGCTGCGCCAGGGCGGGATTGGTAGCCATCTGCGTGGTGCGAATAAAGTGTGTCAGCACAGAGAAGTGCGGCTGCATGCCCATTTCCTGGCTGCTCACAGAGTCTGCGAGGGACGAGAACAGCGTCTCTCTAATGAGCGTCAGAGCGTCCTGCCCGGAAGAGGACAGATTCGCTGTACTGCTCGCTGATGTCTGGTTGCATTGGATGGAGGAATGTGCGGATGGAGCTTGATCTTGCGGGTCCCCGGATTGTGCTCCAATGCTCGGGACCTTGTGATCGTGCGTATGTTGATGCAAAGTGTATGTGGCGGCATCGTAGCTTGGAGGGGGCTGATACTGGACTTGACTAGCCTGCGAGCGGCTAGCCTCTCCCGAAGAGCGCGGAGTGACATTTATCGCAGCACCATTCACGACGTGCTGCAGATCTCTTCCAAAGCGGTTCTGAAAAGAAGACCTTAGATTGATCTCCATGGCTACCAGCTGAAGATCCATCAGTATTCTGTGCACATTCGGATTCAGTCCTTGATTCGGTGCGCGTTTTGGCTGTTTGCCGCAGATCGACCGGGCGAGGTCGTGCCTATCGTCCAATTCAAGCGCCTGTATCGGCTGTATGCAGCTCCTCCACACTTCGAAGAAGGGCTTCAAGCTGACTGGACAAGTGTCGTGATTCAAGACGAACGAGCCATCAGGCATTGCGATGGATTCGTCCCGTGCCTGCAAGGCTGCGATGAAGAGTGCAAAGGAGGGAGCGCTGAGTTGTATCTGCTCTGATGCGCCCGTCAGCTCCGACACACTCAGCAGACCCTCTGCTTGAGCTTGCGCTAGGGAGACTTGAAGCAGCGAATGGAAGCCGTCCACCACTCGTGACTCGTCCAGAGTCGTCATTGTAGAGGATCGAAGTGAAGTTGATGCGGCCAGTGTCCGATCGCAGCGCAGCGCAAAGATGTCTTGCAGTAGTGTCGAGGTTCCGAGTCAGAGCGGAGTGGCAGTGGCGCTAGCAGGGGTTTCCAGGGTATCAAGTGGGCGAATGAGAGGAGTGGCTGAGAAATTGCGTGCCTGTGATGGTATACTGTTCGTGTTGGTAAAAGAGAACATGATGGCACCTGTCCAACCACACGTATGACACACCAACCAGCGTCCCGCTCAATCAAGTCTGACTTTGACTCGGCGTGACACAGCCTCATCCGTGATTCGTGATTCAATTCTTGATTTTGATTTGGACGCTGCGAGGGCGACTCAAAGACACGTGACCATCACGACGTCCTCTTCTCTCGCACGCAAGGATGCGCAGCACAGCCAGCCTGCGCGCGAGCGGCCAAAAAATTTCGCGGGGAGCTAGCAAAGGAAGCGCACAAGCATCATCAGATCTGGCGCCGTTTGGAGCCGCACTCCGAGCACCTTCTCATCTCACACGTTCTCGGAAGTCAAGTCACTTCATCCAGCATCGGCTCCTTCGAAAACCTACACACAATGTCCAAGAGGCCATCATCACCTGTCCAGGCTTCGACTTTCACAGCTGGACCTTCACGGCACACGGACCTCTCAGCCAAAAAAAGGACAGCAGCCAATGGCTCAGCACCTCACGATGAAGATGACGAGGGCATGGGTGAATTCGAGGATCGGTTCGAAGACGAATTCGAGAGCGAAGATGACGGCGAAGTAGTCGATGCTGCCAGCGACAGTGATGATGACGAGGAGGGCGAAGGCATGGAGATTGATGGTGAGCATAGCGCAAATCTGCGCTGCGGACGAGACTAATACTGCGCTGACAGACCTCATCTCACTTTATACACTTCCTCTCGCCCAGGTGTCAAAGTGTCCGGACGGATACAAAGGCCAGAGGGAGAAGATGACGAAGTCAGCGGTGGTCCTGAAACGCAGGCTTGGTTGGCTGGTGCGCAACCGTTAGAGGAAGGCCAAGTGCTGGAGCCCGACCAATCAGCGTACGAGATGCTACACCGAATGGGCGTCAACTGGCCTTGCTTGTCATTTGATGTTCTGCTTGACAACTTGGGCCCGGCTGAGGATAGGGTCAGGTATCCTCACACCGCCTATTTTGCTGCTGGAACGCAAGCGGACACGGCAAAGAACAACGAGCTAATCGTCTACAAGGCAAGCTCTCTACACAGAACCATCAAAGATGGCGGTGAGTGCTCGCAAGTTCAAAGATGCCGTGTACAACGACGACAGGCAATGATGCTTGAGGCATTTGGCCACATGGGCGCGGTGGATTTTTCCTCCTTGCTGCCCACATGCAGAAAATATCTCGCTACCTAATTACACACCTCTGAGCCTCTTTGAGAATTGACGACTTGGCGTTCGATCGCTGTGACACTGTTGCAGCTTGCTGAGTATGCCCTCCAATTCCCCCTTTGCAGACGAATCCGACGATGACGAGGATGACGACGACGACGAGGGCTTGGACGACGATGCCATCCTCGAGTCCAAGTCTATCCCGCACCTTGGCGGCGTGAACAGGGTTCGAGCAGCCCCCGTCGCTCCTCCCTCTGCAGGGTCCGAACCGACGCTGGATCCGTACCCTGTGGCCGTGTGGTCCGAGCTAGGCAGCGTGGGTATCTGGGATGTCCGACCACTGTACAATGCACTGGAGCGTCCTGGTCCATTCGACAAGGCGCGAGCTTCTAAAGCGCTTCATACGGTGCCGCACTCGACAGAAGGATACGCCATGGACTGGGCCGGTTCATCCTCGGGCGCAGGCAGGCAGAGCAGTCTGAGGCTGCTATCGGGTGACGGCCACGGCCTGATCAAGTTGACGACGTCCAACAACGCCGGTTACACTACCCACGCCGCACCCTTCACTAGCCACACCAGTAGCGTCGAGGATTTGCAATGGTCTCCCAAGGAACCCACTGTCTTTGCGAGCTGCTCAGCGGACCGAAGCATCAGAATTTGGGATGTGCGGGTCAAGTCGCACAAGTCTGTCATCGCGTTGGATGAAGCGCATGAGCAAGACGTAAATGTGATCTCTTGGAACAAGAAGACGGACTACCTTTTGCTTTCGGGCGGAGACGAAGGAGGATTGAATGTTTGGGACTTGAGGAATTTCAAGCCTTCCTCGAGCAACGCAGCGCGACCTACGTCCGTGGCCAACTTTAGGTGGCATCAAGCGCCCGTATCTTCCGTCGAGTGGCATCCCTCCGAAGACTCCGTCTTTGCCGCTTCTGGCAGAGACGATCAGGTTACGCTTTGGGACTTGTCGGTTGAGATGGACGACGAGGAACAACCCGGTAATGCTCAGAAGGGACCGAATGGAGAAGATGTTCCCAGCCAGCTCTTGTTCTGCCACCATGGAGCCAGCGAAATCAAGGAGGTCCATTGGCACCCGCAGATACAGAGTATGCTGATCACAACGTCTGCGGACGGCTTCCACCTCTTCAAGACCATTTCGGTCTAGTAAGAACGAGGCTCCCTATCCCGATCAGCATCGCGCCGCTTCGCCCCCCACGCATCCACTTTGCATACCTTTCAATACATTTCTTGCACTCTCTACTAATGCACCGACTGATATTGCGGAGTGAACATGGTGACTAGGTTCGCAGACCGCACTAGGGCTTTGTGTGAGACGTGACCACAGCCAGGGAGCCGGATGCGTGGCATGCCTCTGAGCAATGCATGACGATGATGACAATCCACATGCGAGGGGTAGGATGAGGCGGAGAGATCAATCGACCACAAGTTCACTGTCGACTTTGTCAAAGTCCCTAAAGAATGCAGCAAAGAGGTCAATCTTGTACTTTACGTCCTTGGTCCCTGAAGTTTCCCTGATGGAGTGCATAGAAAGTTGGGGGCTGCCAAGGTCTACCGTCCTGATTCCCGTTTTGCTCATCATAGGTCCAATGGTGCTTCCGCATGGCATATCGTTTCTCACTTCAAACTCTTGCAATGGCACACTGGCCAATTTCGCAATTCTTCGTATCAGAAAGGTGGTGGGTGCAGTAGAAGCGTAGCGTTGTTTTGCGTTCGTCTTGATCACCACCCCTCCATTAATCTTCGGTCTGTGATTGTCCTCGTAGAAGGAAGAATAGTTGGGATGGAAACCGTGCGCCATGTCCGAGCTGATGAGGAATGATTTCGAGATTGACCGCTCGTAATTGGTGGGATGCAAATGATCGTCGTTCTTGATCGACTCCAGGCCCAGAATGGACATGCTTCCTAATCTTCGAACTGTGGAGCTCAACATGTTCGACTCGGCTCCGTGCGTCGATACTGATCCCACCTCCTCATTGTCGAAGAGCGCAATAGCTTGAATAGAGGAAGAGTTGGACAGCGATCCTCCGCGCGTAGCCTCAATCAGCGCCGTCGTAGCGCAGAAGCAGGACACTGTCGGAGCGGAGTGATCAAATTGCAGCATCAGCAAATGCCTGCGCAGCGCCAAGCTTCGATGCGTGTTGACACTCACTCTGATTATCCAGCCTTGCAGCGTGTATGAACTCGTCATTGAGGCCACCTACGTGGCGCATCAGACCGAACGTGTTAGAGTTGCACAGGAAGAGTTGGCCGGTCAACCAGTAGCAGCACTTATCGGGACTCACCAATCGTAGCTTTCTGCGTATCGTACAAGCTCAGCTCGAAATCCTGAATCTGCTCCACCTGCACCCCTAGCTCGCCAGCCAGCAGTTCCAAGAGCATCGAGTGATGCTTTTCTTGCATTCTTGGCTCTCCTGTAATACCATCTTCGTCCGTTGTTGCAGGAGCATTGAGTGCCTCTTTGGCCTTGTCCGCAAGTCCTAGGATGGGAACCATTTCGGTCTCTTGGTTGAACTTGAAAGCATCGTTTGCGCTTCTATTGAGGTGAATCGCAAGTGTGGGGATGCGAAGGAGAGTCCTGTCCACCTTGACCAGTCTGCTCTGGAAGGCATTTTGTGAAGCAGTCGTAGCGACGATGACTCTTCCAGCCAAGGAAAGATCCCTGTCGAACCAGGTGGACCACAGGCCCCCGCCATACGTCTCCACCCCGCATTGCAGGTAGCCTTCCTTGGTGCGCTTGCTGACGGGTTTGATGTGAAAGTTGGGCGAATCGGTATGGGCGCCCACGAGATGAACTCCGGACACGCCAGGCTGGAACTGCTTGCCGACACCAAAGGCCACGATGGCGCTTTGATTGCGTGTGAAGCTACGATGAAAAGCGTTTTAGGGAGGTTGTGTCAGTCGGGACCAAATTTAGAGATAGTCTTCACGCCGCACGCGGTTGTCTATGCTCACAAGTACTTTCCGCCCGCTTCGATCTTCCCGTCCCATGCGTCCTGCTCTTTCAGCCGCACGAAACCGTCCTTTTCGAGCAAGGCAGCGCTCACGGCAGTCGCATGAAAGGGCGTAGGTGAGGCATCAGAGTACTTCAAGAACGCTTGCGCAGGCGATGTTTCAAGAGAGGAGTTGATGGATGAGACGATCGAAGGGAGCGAGTAGCCGCTGCCGGGTGTTGGCGACTGCGTCATGTGGTTGCGCGAGCGCAGGGACGGCCGAAGCAGATTGTGCGCGGGTCGAGGGATGGATTGAGAGGGGAGAAGGAGGGGGCGGGCGGTAGAGTGAGCACCGTTGTTCGCCGATGACGTGGCAAGTCGCCTCTTGTTGCATCCCACAGGCGATTTCAGCCGTCTTTGCAACATCTGCCTGCTTCGCATGACATCAGCTTCTGCAATGAAGCGAGAGCAGGAACAAGGACGCACCATATTGTCCTGTTCTTCAGTCTCGGATGTCTGATAGCGAGGAATGGAGATGAGCGAGTATGTCGGGGAGATCGATAAGTCGGACTGGTTGGACTGAGACTGGCGACGAGTATCCATATCACGGTCTCTCTGTCGTGTGTGTTGCAAGGCCTGACTCGATGCGCAGCTGCCGACGCAAGTGAGGTGGTGGTCAGTCGCAAGGTCCGCACGGACAGCCAGACTAGCGTGTATGCTGCTGGCTGAAGCTAAAGCCCATGTCGTGTGCTTCAAGCGGAGCTCACTTCGGCCGATAAAGGCGGGTCACATCCAGCGGCGGTGTTGCTCGAGGATGCGCGTCACGCGCCTTGATCGTGATGCGTGGCCACCCGCGCGAGGTGCAGCTGATGATGCCCCTTCGATACGATGATATAGTGAGTACCCGTTAGCGCTAACACTTGTCTTCTGGGTCAGCCAACGCACATCAGCAACACTGACAAAGTCCGGGCATAGGGACCCATCGACTCGACGCGCGCCCGCGTTGAACACATCCTTGTCATCTACGCTTCTCGGCAGTAGCTCATCTCGTCTGTCGTCGGTCAAGCGTTGTCATCCCCGGCGTTCGCATCCCAGTAGCGGACGTTCAACGCATCCGACCGTCTCCGTCGACCCCAAGATCCCAACAAGTCTTGCGCATCGACTTCTGCTCTCTGCTGCATCCAACGAACTCCCAGAACATGTCGCCAACCTCGAGCTCTGCTCGCGATGCTCGAGCAGGTCCAAGCAAAGCCCCACCACGTCGCACCACACGTCAACAATCGCAGTCCGCCGCAGCGAGTGCGAGTGCACGTCCTTCAACAACTGTCCAAGGTGCTGCTACGAGCGCAAGCGCCTCTAGAGATCCGATTTCTGCAGGACCTAGACCAGCTTCAGCGTCGAGAAGGCGGGTGCAGGATGATCAGCCTCTCCAAGGTGCATTGATGACGCCCCCCAATGGCGCTGCTGCTCCTCGCATTGCAGGTTTGGGGCGTGGCGGAGACATGGTGAACAGCTCAGACGCGCATTCTCGCGGCGCGGGGTCAGAGCCAAGCACGAGTATCAGTGGGTGGACAGTCGACCCCTCGCGAGGAGGTGCAGGGATGAGCACGCTGGATCCTTTTCACCGGACCAGCCCAAGTACAAATTTACCAGCACCATCGGGTGCGAAGGCCGACCGCTTTTCAAATCTCCGTGCTAACCCCAATGCTCGTATCAATGCGCAAACAAATGCAGATGGAAGCTTGAGTGCTGCTGGAGACTCGGATGAGGCAGATGGGAGCGGCCTCTTGGGTCTGAGTCCTGCTATGCATCTCAAATTCGCAGCCAAGAGGACCGTAGCGCGGCCAAGGAAGATTGGAGATCTGGGCTTGGGAAGCGCAGGCAATGGACCAGCAAGGAATTGGGAAGAATTATCGGCAGTCGATGAGAACAAGGGTAATTTCAAGGCTCACAATACAGATCAGGAGGAGTCAGCTGCTCAAGCGGCGGCAATCAGCGCAGACGGCAGTATCATCATACATCCAGAATCGGGTCCAGCAGAAGAAGACTTGCAAGCAGCTGGCTTGCCCGATGTGCGAGAGGAAGATGACGATGAGCTGAGCGCCATGCAGGGTGACAGGCTTGAGATGATGCTGCATAGAATGCGCAGGTGGAGGCACGACGCTGCTAGTCACTTTTTGTTCGACACTGCCATCTTTTGGGGAGACAAGATACTGCATCTGGAATGTGGGTAGACGTGAACAGATGCGTGACGCTGGCGCCATCTGGTCACATAAGTGGTCATATCCACTGACCTCAGCGCCTTTCTCCCATGCTCTTCAGCGGGGACAACCGCGTGGAACGATGCCTTCCATTTGGCGACTTACTACTTCCTCTCGCACCGCTATGCTCAAGCAGAGCACCTCCTCATGAATCCTTTGCGCAGGAACAAAGCGCGACGTAAAGACAAGACACGCCAAGATCACCGATCTGCTTCTCAAAAGGCCACCTCTGATCCTCTTGGGGAAGCTTTGAGAGCCACGCGCTGCTCCAGTCGGCTGCCCAAGCATCTGCTGAGCCCACACCGAAATACAGCATCGAGTGCAGGCGTGGACTTTCCAGAATGGCATTTGCAGTCAGACCATTTAATCCATACGGCTGACGACGAGATGGATGGAAATGACCTCGTGGATGGGAGAAAAAGGAAAGAGAGAGCTTTTACTGTCAGCGGGACAGGCACTGGCAGCGAGTCGGATGATGGGGCGCCAGCAGAGCTGAGGACCCCCCAGAGGGATCGCAAATCATCTACTGAGTTAGGCTCCGGCAGTCGTGACACAGCAACCCGAGAACAGCTTCCTGATAGCGGCTTCGAAGAGATTTTCGATGTTACGGAGGATGTGCCAGCCCCTGACGGACCCACCCTTGCCAAAGAAAGTGCTCAGTGTAGGTGGCTAGCAGCTCAATGCATGGTACGTGCCCCAGCATATAGTGCGCACTGCGCCAACAACTTGCTCGATGACGCTGACCCTGCTGTTACATTTGACAGGCCCGGCAAGGCAAATATCACGAAGCGCTCGATGTCCTTAGCGGCTGGAAAGAGGATGCCCTGGATAAGGATGGTGAGTCGAAGGCTTGCGTTTCATCAATGTGCTTCGGAGACACTCAATGGCTCTTGCGCCCCCCTTTCCCCCTCCTCCGGGCAGAGAAGTACGGCTTCAAAGCACCGTCGGTGGATGGGTGCATCAAGCTCAGCTCTTCGAAGTGGCATCTCCGAGGGCAGATCTCAATGCGTCTGGATGAGAAGGATCAAGCGAAGCTGAGCTTCATGAGAGCACTGTCGCTCGACGTGCGGAATTTCGACGCTTTCTCCGCCTTGATGGATGGGAATCTGTTGGGGGCTGAAGAGCAGTGGGAATTTGTCAGAGGACTGGAATTCGTGGCCCAAGCAGGAGGCGATGAAGCTAGTGTAGAAGCGCACGAGATGGTCCGGTTACTCTACTATACGCGATTGAACCAGATGGGGCGGCTGCATGCCAAGGAGACGGCTTTAGCGCGCAAGAAGCTCCTTTCTGCCTACCCGCTGCAAAACAATGCGGACGTGCTGCTAAGTCTGGCCGAGAGCCTCTTTGTCCAGATGAGGTTTCAGGATTGTCACACGGTCACAAACAGGATCTTGGACATTTCTAGGGACCATCAAGCTACTTTGCCCCTGCATATATCCACCTTCTTCCAACTGCCACACCTGCGACCCGCTCTTTTTTTGTTGGCTCATCACCTTTCGGACACGGATCCTACTTTGCCCGCTGCTTGGTATGCTGTCGGGATGTGGTATGCCTGCGCTTCAAGGTGGTTAGAGGCAAGACGCTACTTTAGGTGAGTGGACGACGCGCTGCCTGCATCTCACCTGCACATCGATTGACATAGTGCATCGCTGGTGATCGCCTAGCAAATCGGTGCACCTAGATGCTCGATTCGCATACGGGTGGATAGCCTTTGCGCACACCTTTGCGCTAGAAGGAGAGTCCGATCAAGCTGTCACTTCGTACTCCACAGCAGGCAGGCATTTTCCTTCGAGCCACCTGCCAACTTTGTTCATCGGCATGGAGCACTTGCATCAAGGCAATCTAATTCTTGCCAAGCTTTTCCTGGATGCTAGCGCAAAACTTTGGAAAGAGGATCCCTTGCTCCTGAATGAACTTGGGGTGGTCGCTTTTCACAATGGCAAGTGAGTGCAATGTTGGGTAGCATAGTGAGTCAAAGCGAAAGCCAAGCTCATGCGTGGCACTTCGCAGCCTTTCGGAAGCAGTGGAACATTTTGTCCAAGCGCTGCAGCTGGCGGAGCAAGCGCAGCAGCCCGCTCGCGAGTGGACAGCGACGCACCTTAATCTTGGGCTCGCTCATCATCGTCTCGAGTGAGCCGGCCTACGAGCCTCTGGCTACCCTTTTACCCCATCTGCTCACCCGTCGTCGTCTTCATCTCTTTAGCAATGCGACCCTCGCGGCCAAATCTTTTCGACGCGTGCTGCAGCTCGATCCTTTCAGTGCCGAAGCATATACGGGTCTGGGCATGGCGTCGCACAGGAATGGTCAAATCTCCTCCGCCATAGGCTACTACCACTCTGCTCTGTCCATTGAGCCTAGGGATGTGCACACAACACAATTGCTAGATCTTGCGTTGCAAGAAAACGCTCTGGCTGACCCCTTGGGAGCTGGCGGTGGATTGTCGGCCCAGCTCGCAGACGAGTTGCAACTTGGAGATCATGCCATCGATCGAGTGGGCTCCATGACGCAAAGACAAGACGTCGACGATACACCGGCTGTCGACCGTACCGACACGCGCAGGAATTCGGAGAGCTTGCACCAGCTTGGCACGAGTAGCAACTCGGCCCTTCGGCAAGAGCAGGACAGCGTCTCTATGGATATGGACGCAAGCGATGCTTGAAATGCTACATCATACTGTTCGTAAGCCTGACATCCAATTGAGTGTGCTGTTCGCTGCTTTGCGTGCAGAGTGTGCAATGTAAAGGCTAGCAAGGGCTTGGATTTCTACACGCGTGGGCAAGCTGTCCTGCAATGAAAGCCCACCTCCTTGCAAACGCAAACTCGTATACTCATAAACTACTTCTCTGCCCAACCTCCAAGCTCGACGACAAAGGCAGAAGTGAGGCGGACAAATTGGACCAGATGATCGAAAGAGAACTGCAGAGGGCAGATGAACATGGAAGCAAAGCTGTCAGCTCGATTTCTTAGGCATGTGGCTGGACATGCAACTTACGCCAGGAGCGTCGATGGTATCTAACGGGTGATCGTGCGCGAAGCGAAGTGCGAGAGGTCAGTCAAAACGCCGTGCAACGGGAGCGGGAGGTATGTGCTTACCACCGGTAGTGTGGATGCGTTGTAGGTTGCTATCTTCAAAGGTGGCTGCAAGACGAAAAAGACGAAATGGGTCAGTGAGAACAATCGCACGATCGCTTGCTGAAGCTCTGACGATATCTCTCACCTTCGATGGCGAATGCGCTAGGCACTCCGACTTTGGTCCAGCTAGCATGATCAGATCCAGCATAGCCCAGCTTGGTCTCGACGGGCGGGATCTCCAGGTAGGTGTTGACCAATAGCCTGACAAAGTCCGTCAAAGGCGTGCTGACAAAGTCAGAAACGATTCCGACACGGGCTTCTGTGCCTGGCTTGACGAATGCGGTCACTGCGAAATGGGAAGATGACGAGTGGTTCATCAGCTCCTACGATTCGCAATAAACGGTTATGGAATGCCACATGGTCACTACTCACTGTCTTGCTGCAGCATTGCGCTGGGACGCACACCCTTGGCAGCGTACGCTTGAGCCACCTCTTGACTACCCAAGAGACCTCCCTCCTCTGACAATAGACGTTTGCGGGAAGCAAGGTGTCAAGAGGACATGATGTATGCGTGATCTCAGCCTTGAATACAGACGTACCGGCGCTGTACCAGTGAAACTCGATGTCCTTGACGGGTCTCCATCCCTTGGACAAGAGCGCACGCAAAGCCTCGATCAGCGTTACAGTCCCACTTCCATCGTCATCTGCCCCAGGGGCAGGCAAGAAGGGGATCTGATGGGTGCTGTCGAGGTGCGCTCCAGCCACGGCGGCAATATGACCCTGCTCCGCCGAGGAGGATTTTGCGCCGGAAATGTGGAGAAGGATACTGTTCTGTCCCCAAGAGTGCTTGTGCTCTCTGACGCTGATGTATGGGACGTCGGCGACGACCTGTTCGGGCACGCGATCCATTCTTTGAGCATATCGCGATCGTTTCGAAGGAGAGAGCTGCACCCACTCACACCCTGGATGAGCTTCAAGAGCCACTGCTGGCTCTGCTTGCCAGTCTCGCTGCGGTAGTACCTGTTTCTAAAGCTGGTGAAGCCCTTGAGGTTCTCCTTTGGTCCAGCATCCGAAATCTCCGCAAACACACCCTTGAGGTGCTTCTCGTGATATGTCGTGTTGGGAAAAGAGGAGCTCTGGACCAAGCTCGAGGCAGTCGTAGGGAATCGAATAGGCTCGATTCCGCTTCCCAGCGTGGCTGTCAGGTCGAAGAAGTTTTGTCTGGACCAACGAAGATACATCTTGCCCAGCTCGGTGGTCCAGTAGGGATGCTGATCGTGCGCAGCTACAGTAGCGGTACGTGAGCCACACATCGGCGTTGGGCGGGTCAGCTTCTCGAACTTTGCTGCTAGTATGCGTTCGCGGTATTGTGCTCACTCTGCACCAGACGAGGCTCGCTCAGCTCTCCCAGGAATGGGACCCTTCGAATGGCGCCGGCAAGCAAGCGCATGGCCGCAGGGGCACTGGGCAGCTCCAGCATTGGCGTCTCGAACACATCAGCTTGGTAAGAGCTCGAGATGAGCGGGCGCGTCGTCGATTCGGTCACACTTCCATGGCACGGTGCCGCATGGATGGATTGAACAGAGACCGCAGCGAGGGCCGCCGCGGTGGCCAACGAGAACGTCGAGAGGCGCATCTTTGAGACCGATGAGATGGAAAGGGGGAGGAAAAATAGTCAAGTTGGAGTTGATTGCTCGGCTGCGTTGGATGCGTTGGACAGAATGATGTGAATGGGGAACACTGCAGTCAATTCGTGAGTGATGCTGCTGACATTGAGGCTACCCGGGATCGATGGCAGGTTGCGGGGCGCCGACACCTCGCGCGTCATGCGAGGGAGGATGACGTGACCCTTTTGCACCGCCTCACAATCGAGCACGTGACTTGGACAATCACGCCCTTTTTAACCTCGGCATGTATACGAGGGTCTCCACATCGTTGTGATTTCAGGATTCCGCGCAGCACATTACTTTCGTGACTCGCACTCGTGACTCGAACATAACCAATCTTGGTACGTATAAGACCTCTCAACACTGCAGCTGACGCTCTGGCCCTTCCTTGAGGTCGGCACACTCGCATTCGAGCACACGTCACCCATCGCCGCCACTCCTCTCATCAAGAGGATGATTCGGGTGCGTAATCAAATTTCGTATGTTTCGCCAAGATAAAGGGATCGGTCCATTGCATTCGAGACGACATGTGAGAAGAGCAGACGAGAAGCAAGAAGCCGCAATCGATAACCAGACGGGAGATTAACTTCGAATCTGACATGTTTGAGAGAGACAGTCGACAAGACTTTGATTTCAAATGTGCTGCAGGGAAGCAAAGTTGTGCTGATTCGGGAGGGTAAGCTAGTGTCGAAGCGAGAAGAGGCCACGAGAAAGGGGTTTGAGTCGAGTCCAGTCGAAAGAAGCTTATGCTGCCGCAACGGGTCGGCCCCTGGACGACTCGAGGGCAGGGTGGATGCCGTTGGTGGCTGCCTTGGCCGATGGCGCTGGGTGCTCGCCATTGCGAATCTTCTCCGCTTTGAGAGCCTCGGGGTCAGCACCCAGGTCACCAGCATCAGCATAAGCATCTTGCCCTTCGCCAGGATATTGAGGGAAGCGCTGCTTGACGTAGCTCTTGTGAGCCGCTAGCACCTTCTCGAATTCTTGCTGGGACTGCGTGATTTGGGGGCGATGTTCATGCTAAGCAGCCTGCAAGAGAATCATGGGCAGCACGCGCTTTGACTCACAATGTCATTGGCGAACATGCAGTTGCCGTAAGGCCCGGCAAGGACGAAACGTTGAAGGCCATCGCGAGTCTTCATGATGGCCTCGACGCTGCGATGCAAGAGCTCATTGTCGAGGCTGGGGTGGTCGATGGTCAAGCCAACGCCTTGTGCGAGAGTGAACCACTCGTCGCGCTCCGCATCCGTCAAGAGACCTCGAGCGTGGGACATGATGATGGTGTAAGACATGTCCACAGTGATGGCGTGTCCATGACGAAGGGGAGGGAAGGGAGCGAGCTCAAGAGTGGGACTGATACCATGTCCGCTCGCAATGACCCGATCCAGCCCAATCTCGTGCAGGTTGCCAGACTCGAGCTGAAGCATCTTGAGGATAGCTCGTCTGCACACCTCGTCTGCTACGCCTTTGAGTTCGGGAGCACTGCCTGCCTTGCGTCCAAAGCCGGTCTTGACCAACTCGGGTCCGTACTTGACCAAGAGATCCCAGGTGGGCTTCTCTGCACAGTGAGAAATCTTCATAATCTCTGCGAAGCCGTTCCTTGTTTGGCCCTCGGGCAAAGTCTTGAGAAAGTCAAAGTCGAGGAAAGTGTGCATGGGGGCGTGGTAAGCTCCGAGCCTGTTCTTCAACTTGCCGTGGTTGATGCCGACTTTGATGGAGATGGCGGCGTCGATCAGGGCGATCAAAGTGGTGCCGACGCGAATGTAGTTGGTGGAACGCCTGTAGCTGGCGCAGGCGTAGCCGGCCACATCAGAAGCCAAACCTCCGCCCACGACGAGCACGGGCTCCTTGCGGATCAAGCCAAACTTGTCCATAGCGTCGACGAAGCTGAGCATGGTGTCCATGTTCTTGTGCAGCTCACCTCCCTTGAACACATGCAGAGTGGGCGCGATCTTGTGCGAGTTGAAGTAGGCTTTGATGGCATCGCCGTACAATGCGTTGAGGTTGTCATCGAGCAGGACCAGAACGCGACCCCACTTGTGGTAGTACGAGGCCTGAGGAGTGGGGGGATGCAAAAACATGTTAGCGGGGATGCCACGCATGATCAAGAGGCGCATGTGAGCTCACCAGGTCATCCTTCTTCTGATCGAAGACATTATCTACAAAGCTGTAGCTGTACTTGAGCTCTTCGTTGCCCTCTACCACGTAGCCAGCGCCAGTGCAGTTGGCGCCAGCAGGGGTCTCGCGGACCTTGCCGCTCATGTCAGAAGAGGGTGGGAGGACAGACATTTTGTGAAAGTCCAGGCGATTGCAAGGAGATGAGGAAAGATCGTGTAACAAGACGAGTTTGGGGGGCGTAGGGTGAGAGCAGATGCTGAGGTGAGGAGTGAGCAATAGCTGGGTTGCACAAGCATACAGTCTGGTATATATACCCACTCCTGACCTCCGCTTGGGGATGGGATGGGGTGGGGCCTTCGGTCTGCAAGAAGAAGTTGAGGCAGAAGGGGTCCAACGCACGGACTCGCAAGAAAGCTTTCATCGCAGACAGCTCTAGTGCCAGTGACACTTCCTCCATCCCCTCATCCCGTTTCGGTCGAGGCACGATGTGAGAAGCTGATGAATGGCCCGCGAGTGCGAGTGCGAAT